TCATTTTAAATTCCCCCCTGTGGGCAGAAAAAAGGTCAAATTTACAAAAAAAATATACCAAATGATAGGTAAAGACATCAAGCATCTATTGTAATAAACCAAAAATAAAAAGAAAGAAAATAAAAAGAGGAAAAATAGTAGAGATATAAAAATTAGAAAAATGAATAAAAAGAAATATAAAAAGAAAATGGGGCTTTGCTTAGTAGATTATTGTAATCATTATTTGTTATAATTTTTGTTATTTTAATGTAGATTTAATTGTCTTCAATTTTATTTAAATTAATTTTCTCATTAATTATTTCTCTCATTAGTTATTAATGGTTTATCACGCAATAGATTGTTGGGAGTTCGAAAGCATAGGTTAAATTGTACTTACCTTATGTCCTGTGTGATACAATAATATTTTAAGTAATCCAGTGTTGATTTCCGTATTAAACGCACTACGTATACGATTTACACTATATGTAATACAGTCTATATAATTGCTTACAAAAACGACTCAAGACTTTAAATAAGATGATTTAATTACACAAAGTCTAAGACTGATCTTACTTGTAAAAGATTTTAGACACTCTGTATTTTATTATAGAAACAATTTTAATTTTTTATTTATTGATTTTTTTTTTACGTCTGTTGAATAAGTATTTTTTAGAGAGTATATTTTATTGAGAGATCGATACCAATATTTCTTAAATTTTCCTCTGGCCTGGCCAAAACAAGATTCAGAAATATCTATATCTATGTAAAAAATTTATCAAGGCAGAATTGTGGTGGCCCAATGTGTCCCGGTGCTAAAATAAAGCACCTTGAAAGGATGCGGCACAATAATAACCAAGACAAAAATTAAACACTGCAAATATAATTGTAAGTTTCTTTACGCTGTCTGCCGGCGCGATGTTTATTAAAACAAAGACATTAGTAACGAGACTAGCTACCCAATACGCATAGGCTTACAAATATATTCTAACCTAATATACCTAATTTTTGAATAATATTTACTTGCAACCTTTACTCTGTCTGCCGGCGCGATGTTTGTTAAAACAAAGACATTAGTAACGTGACTAGCTACCCAATAAGTATAGGATTGCAATACACTTAGTCAAATAAAATTACCATTAAATAAATTTTAATCTCAATTTAAATTGAGAAGATTGTGACCTTTAGCTCTGTCTGCCGGCGTGATGTTTGTAAAAACAAAGACATTAGTAACGAGACTAGCTACCCAATAAGAAATGCTCACAATAAATTTTTATAATTAAATAAAAATCTAAAGTTAGGTTGGGTTTATTATTAAAATAAAATAATTTTAATAAGATGTAATGTTTAAAATATTATTTGATATTTATTTCCACAATAAGAAAAATAAAATATTATTAATGATTGAACAAATTAAATTAAATTAAAAGATTCACCAAAACAAAATTCACTTTAAAATTTCTAAGTGTCATTTAGTTTTAAAGAAAAATATTCTAAGTCCAAATTAATTAAAAAATCGACTAAGTGTTTTTAAATTGAAAAATATTCTAAGTCCAAATTAATTAAAAAATCGACTAAGTCCCGGAGAGTGAAATCTTGAGTAGAGCGTCGTAGATTTTGTGTATTTTAAAATCGTCAAAAGAACTGGTTTAGATGGGGAAAAATGGCTTTTTATAGTGTGAAGGGGGTAGCCCAGCGATCTCTATCGTGATCCTAGAAGCTGAGGCTTTGTATTGTAATTGGTTAATTAAAAGAGGGTCCCTGCGTGTAGGCGTTACTTAATAATTTCTACAAGAGGGAGATTTTATTGTATAATTAAAGGGTTATTTTGTATCTTAAATAAGAGAACCCTGTTTTGGTGATCTTGTATAATCATAATATGTGACATACATGAACAAATGATAACATCTTATTATATATTAATATTATATGTAATAATATAATATTACA